GGGTCAGAAGAACATTAATTTTAATAAAAGCCCTAAGAGCTGAGGAAGCTATCTCACAACATGAAAAGACAGATTACAGAACCTAGTCACTAAAGTGCAATACCTCTAAAGTTTAAATAGAATTTCCTTTTATAACCTACTTCTTTAAATATCTATCTTTCACAAAGAATCACTATCAGTTGCAGAGCTTGCCATCTCAGATGAAATTTCAGGTTTTTAGGTATAGTAGTTGGCACTGTGATCAGAAGCCTGTAAACAGTGAGCTGAAACCTAGACAGTACTTCAGATAGCCTGATAAAAAAGGAATGCTTGGAGTCATTAATCCTCAAAAGTCAGATTAATTTAGAAGAAAATCAAAGTAAAAGTTATATGTTCTAAAAGTTTTATTTCAAGTGTTGATTCCAGCATTATCATGCATAAGCTTGAATTGTGGTATTTATCATCAGTCTTAACTGGGAAAGAGACATAAGAACATTTGGATTTGGAATAGTGACAAGACTCATAAAAAGATCCTCAGAGAGAAAGACTGGGACAGAAGAAGACTTGATTTCCACCACAGTCACAATATTAAAAAAAGGGAGCAAACAAGATGAAACGCTATTCAGTATTTACACTAGAAGACAAGAGATATAGCTGGTGCAACTCTAGAAAAAAAATAAGCAAAAACAGCTCAAAATGAAAATGTTGGGCGGAATACAATCTGACCAGTAAGACTGAAGCCTGCATCCTGTGAAAATAACTCTAGTGTAGTACAGCAGTGAAATAGCAGAATTGTGTGAGTCACTTTAAAATTGGCTTTTCCAGTCAGAGGACAAGAGGTAATCTGGTCAAAGTTCAAGTTTAAGGAACAGTCTGTCAATCATTCCTGCCTTTGTGACCAAGTAAGGCTGCTCCTTCCAATGTCGTGGAGATGGGTTGTAGTGGGAAGTGAACCAGCATATTCCTAAAAAATCTTTATTTTAAATAACTTTTATTTTAAATTTTTACTTGAGATGCAGTTACCAAGATCCTGACTAATCCCTGGACAGGCTACATTAAAAGAGTAAGATCCTAAGGCATGATGCTGAGAGAGATCTTTTAGCAGGTAGTGTTGCTGAAACCCTGCTATTGTGAGATCATTTCTTCACAGAAGTTCTTCTGAGCAGAACATACCAGTCTTTCTGGCTATTCTATCACTGAATTTGGAAAGAATGCCTCCTCACTCCACTCCCACCCCAGCAGCAGGGCTGGGTAAATTATGTCCTTAATCTCCTCCTAATTCCCACCACAGTCCTTATCACACCACCACTGTGCCAGCACAGTGCCACCACAGCACAGCACAGTTAAGTGCTACATGGAGAACCAACCAGGAAAGAAGTAACCCAGAAAAGATAAACAAAATAAATAAAAAATGAAAGCAGTAGAGGAGATGATTACAGCTGGATCAGAGTTTTAACTCTTTCTTAGCATGACAAATGAATGAGGACAACATATTGGTAATGCAGGAGCAGTAACACCTCAAACCTGTAACTGCAGTTGAGAACTTCACCAAGAGAAAGTGATACACATGTTTTACGTTAAGTATATTTTAAAATCAACTGTACAAAGATGCTTCATTTACTGCTGGATGTTGAGTGTAATCACTGGGTAATACTCAAGACAGTAATAAATGACTAGCTAGCCACTTTTTCCCTTATCTTTCTCAGGCCTATTTCTGAGGGATATAAAAACACCACCACTAAGTCTAAACAATCTACACAGTGAAAAAACACAATTGAGCTGCTCCTACCTAGGTCTTACCTAACATAGCCTTGAGAAGTCTGAACTGATGCAAATGCATCTATTTATATCAAACAGAGCAGTTGATGTCAGCAGTGGAGTTCCTCTTCCTCTGTAGAGACAATACCTTTACTCAAGAGAACAAAGGCAAACACTTTCTGTGGGATTTTCTCCCCTCATATTTTGAAAGGGCTTTTTATATAAATCCCAACTCTTAGTATTGTTAAGACTTCTTCCAGATTTATTTCTGCTTCTGCATGTGAGAAGCCTAACTCTTCTATCTTCTCTTAATAACCACACTTCAAGAGATTCAGATCTGCTTCAGAAAGACTGTTTGCATGCTTTCCCTTTTTATTTCCAGCAGTACAAAAGAAGGAACACAATGCTGTACACTGACTTAAGTTTATTTCAGTTGAATGACTATTTCCCAAGGCTATTTTGAAATATTGGAAAGCCACAGTTACTCTTCGAGAATCACAGAGTAATAGAATGGTTTGGGCTGGAAGGTACCTTCCAGATCTCCCTACAACCTCCCTGCCATGTGTTGGGATACCCTCCACTAAACCAGGTTGCTCAAGGCTTTATTCGGCCTGACCCTGAACACTTCTAGGGAGCAGTCATCCACAACTTCTCTGGGCAACCTGGTCCAGTGCCTCACCACTCCCACAGAAAAGAATTTTGTCCTGAAGTCCGATATAAACCTGCCCTCCTCCAGCTGAGAGACATTCCCCCTTGTCCTGTCAACACATGTCCTTGTACAAAGCACCTCTCCAGGTCTCCTACAGCCCCCTTCAGATACTGAAAAGGCTCTGCAATGTCTCACAGGAGCCTTCTCTTGTCCAGACTGAAAAACTCAATTTCCTTTGCTTTACAGGCATATTTTAGCACCTAGTTTTTGTTCTTGTTCATCTTCCTTCTGGATGCAGCATTTGGCAACAATTTAAATACAGAGGTTCTCCTGTTAAGCTCAACAACATCAGGATGTGAAAAAATCAGCATTTTGCATAAGCTTACTCTTGGAATTATAGCCCTTTTTGTTTGACAGCTTTTATTAGCATCATCTTCTCTAGCAAGGAAAGAAGAGGAGGTTTCCTTGACTTCAGCAGCATCTTTTACTCTGGAATGTCACTCTGTGCAGGGGAATAGGATTACAGATATAAAGAAGGTATTTCTTACATGATGCAATTTATACTGCCTCAGAAAATCCTCTATAATCCCTATATTCCCACCAAGACTCAGCAGGTCTGTTCTATGAAAGAGCTGCAGTTTTAGATGGGTTGCTCTGAAGTTATACTTGAAGGATTTAGTAGATTGAGATGATACCTTGCCTTCACACCTGAGAAGCACAGATAGTATGTATACAGTAGTAAAATAAAGCTTTTATTTTAGTTTGAGCAAATGTTTATGAATACATCTTCATCATGGACTTTGAGAGACAAAATGTCTTATCAGTGTATATAGATCTTAGTGAGTTTAAACACCACATGAGGTAAGTTTTATTATACCCATCATGTTCTTAGAATACTTAATGTCCCACAGCTGATCTGTCAGACTGAATAACTCCAGATCACCTGAAAAATTTGTCAAGTACACTCATCCCAGATATCCTCAGTGCCAAAGCTCAGTCAATATAAGGAAGAATTGGGAACAAGAAAAGACATACACCTGATATTTTCCAGCTCCACAGACTTATGCACACATTTTTAGTTTTATACTACCTTTGAGAACACATCTGCACTTTCGCAAGTACCTTCTAGACTTAAAGATTAGCAGCACACATCACCTGTGAGAAAGATAAAAGGGAGTAAAAATTTTTTAAAAGTAGATGTTTAAAGTTAACACCCTCTGCCAGAAAGACACAAGTCAGACTGTCACTGCTAAAAATCCCAGGCTCCAGAGCAGAGTTTACATGTGACCACAGAGCAAGCAATACACAGTTCACTGTGTTCTTCAGGCCCAGACAGAAGCCCCAGCCTTCCCCAGAAGCACAGGCAACTCTTACACATAGATTAATGAAGTTGCTCCATCTGTGAAAGGGGAGAAAGCATAGTTTTCAAGCCAGCTAAGCTGTAAAGCCAAGATCTCTAAGGGCGCTGAATAATGCAAGAGAACAGGAGTCAATACTTTTTCTTTATTTAACACTGGGCCTGTGAAGGTGCCTTGTCACCAACAGACAATCCAGGAAATCTTCAAAACAGAACCTGCATAATCTTTCTGTAGAGGAAGATTAGTCACATCTCAAGTTCATTTCAAACACTGAAGAATTTATTGTTTCCTCTACATTTCATATTCATTAAGTTCTTTACAATACTTTAAAACCCCACCAAAACAAAAAAAAAAGCAAAAAATGCCAACAAAAAACTACACACTTTTTTGTAGAACTTTCAAAAGAGCTACTGAAAATTGAATAGTAACTCGATAATGAAAAACTGGACTTAGCTACTTTTTCTCTCAACCCATCCAGCAGAAGCACACAATCACCACATCTGAGATCCAAATTTAGGGCTTTCTATCCATTTCAAATGGCCATGAAAAGCTAAGGAACTTAACATAGAAAGACAGAAGTTCCCATTGATTGAAGCAGAAACGCCAATAAAACCCAAAAATCCTCGAAATATAATTCAAAGGTTTGGGTGCGACCTGAAGAGATAGACCCAGATTTCATAAGTGAAGGAGAGCAGGAAGGGGTGTACACCTCTGAAAGCAAAGTAAACTCATTTTGCTCAGGTAGGCAGTGATCCACAGTATTGACACAGCTAAGCTTATCTGCTGTCCCACAGCCACAGGCGCTAAACGCTCGGTTATTGCAGCGCTATGTCCTTAAGCCTCGAATTCTCAGCCGCCGCTCCCGGCTCTCCCCATAACTGACCGCAGGAAGGACAACTGGCAGGAAAGATAACTACCAAAACAACGGCATTCCTAATCTCTGCATCTTAACCGTAGGCGGAATTTGCGCTGTGCAATTATCCTGCATCCTCAACCACAGAGCTCACGATCCGCACCAGCGAGACCCGCTGTTTCCGCCACCCCTCCATGGCCCTGGTGTTCGGTACTGCTTCACCTCGCGTGGCTACGCTTGCAACACGCTCCAACTGTTCCCCCTGCAACCCAACACCCACGGCGAGCAGCGTGAGGCGGCACCGGCACAAATTCAGCGGGAGGGGAAGGAAAGGCGCGCCCGGGAGCAGCGCTCTCCCGGGCCCGCGGCAGCCCCCGCCCCGCGGAGGGCGCCTGGCACCCACCTGCACGGCGGGGAAGGCGCCCTTCAGCAGGTAGAACATCCTGCGGTTCGACAGGAGGTCGCCGGTGGTCAGCTGCTCCTCGGCCCCCTCCCGCGTCTTCCCCTTCGCCTTGGCGTTGAGGACGTTCCCCTCGCGGACCCGCTTCACCTCCTCGCCGCCCCTGACGGCGGCCAGCACGGACACGGCCAGCAGCTCCCGCAGGTCCACGGCGCCGCCGGGCGCTGAGCCGTGCGGCGTCTCGGGCCCGCCGGCCGCCGGCTCGCTCAGCATGAAGAAGGCGAAGCGGCCGGCCAGGAAGCCGGAGTAGAGGTGGTAGAGGACGCCCAGCCCCAGCAGGCAGAACACGGCCATGCCGAGCGGCGAGAGGCGGATGCCCATGGGGGCCATGGCCGGGGCGCGGGCGGGCGGCGGGGCCGGGCGGTCACCACAGTCCCATGGCACGGCCGGGACGCTCCGCTCCGCGGCAGCGGCTCCACGCTCGCGGCCGGCGGCAGCGCCGTCTGTATCCGGGTCAGGCGGGGCGGAGCCGCCGTGCGCTGGGCACGTCCCGCGGCCCCGGCTCTGCGCCGCCCGCCGCTGCCTGCCGTGCTCATCCACGGCAGCGCACGCTGGCCATCGCCCGCTGGCTCTCCTGAGCTCGGGGGCTTGGGGTGATTTTTTCTTCCTTTTATGCAGCAGATGCCCCAGGAGCCCGCAGTGGTGATGCCGAGCGAGCTGCTCCACCCGCGGGGCAGGAGCTAGAGCCTGAGCAGAAGCCCGCCCGGCACCCTGGGAGGGAGTTTTCTCATGGAAATTGCTGTTGGCATAAATAGCCCCTAAATTTCTGAAGGTGCACTGTTAGCCGTGCTGAGCATTATTGCTGAGCAGCTCTTGTTTTTGCCATAGTGGTTCGGGAAGTTCTCTGACCCATGTTCCTCCAAGAATTCCTCTCATTCAGTAAAATGAAGCAAATCCAACTGTTTCCTCAGCCAAGTGACATGATAAAAGCCTACCTGTCTTAATTTATACTTTTTCTTTGCACCTCAGTTGTTTTGGGGGAGTGTGAAACTTCATAGCCAGGATGGACATCTGGGGTGGGAAGCAGGAAGAGTCGCTGATTCCTTTCTGTTCTAATTTCTGATTCCTTTTAGTAGTTTTCAATAAATAACAAGCAAAAGAGCTGTGTTGATTCAGCATTGTTTGAATTAATTACATTATTTTATTCTAGCAATGTTCTTGTGTGTTGATACACAGGTTGTAGAAACATCTTGGTAGTGACTGTGGGAAGAAGTAATTATTAGGGATCATGCATTATGACTTGGGCATTTTTTTCTTTCAAGTGTTAAACTTACATAATCAAGAATGTGAAAACTATAAAGACCAAAATTGAGACCAGCCTTGCAAACTGATGTTGCCCTATAGTCTCCTCTGCATTTCCATTGTAATGGCATCTACATTTACATGGTTACGTATCCACTATCCTGCAGGATTGTACCCTCCCTGAAGTGCAAGTGTACGTGCAGGGAGTGAAAATTAAAGGAACATGGAATGAGAAAGCATTTAATTTGAATTCAGGAGTTGGGATTCCGGAGTTGGGTTCTACTCCAACTATGCTGAGGTTAAACTTTATGTGCTGTCAGGCAAAAACTAGAACATCCATGTTGTCCAGCTTCCCATTCTTTTAAGGTGCAAATTGTTGATTTTATTGTTTATTTTTTTTCTGTGCAGTTGCTTCTCTGGTGGAATGAGAACTTGAAAGGATACACTGATCATTTTCCTTAAAATTGATTTTACAGTTCAACATTTCATATAATAATGAATGGTAAGAAGCTGTGCAGCAATACAGGGTTCATCTTAGACAGGGTAGAGTTGTGTCAGTAATGAGCAAAATAGCCAGGCAGCAAATGCTGCCTGATACTATCAGTAACAGTTTTTGTGTGTATTCAGTAAACAGGAACTTTAAACTCCACCATGGGGGAGGAAACCCAGAAGAAGGAAGAAAACCTGCAACTTTATGAACTGGTTTCTTAATAGAAAGAAACTGAAATACTAGGGGTTTTGTCCCACTGAGGTTTGCAAAGACCTTACAGAGGTGTAGAAAATTAATGGATTTATTACTTGCTACTTACATTTTTATGCCTGCAGTAAACATAGAAAATATTAATGTAAACTGTGAAGAAGATGCTGGACAGAGGGCTCCTTATTTCTGTGATACTGTATGTACCATCTGTGCCAGGTTTTAGAAGAGACTGCTCATCATTAGATGCAATCATGCAACCAATAGACAATATGCTGTCAGCCTGTTTCTCTGTAGCAATCTTACTCTGTAATTACCAGTATTATTATAAAAGTTGCAGTCTGGCATTTTCCGTGTTTTTTTTCTCAAGATCCCTAAATCAGGTTCCTCATGTTTATCCAGCATGCTATTGGCTTCACGCGGGCTCTAGAACATCCCAGAGATCTTTGCAAAATGCACTTTGCAAAGTGCTCTTGGCAGATCTAAGGTTTCTTAGATGCCTAAGAAACCTTTTTCTTAGATGCCTAAGAAACCTTAGGCAAGGTTTCTTTATTGCTTCAACCTGTAAGTAGAGTTTTCAGAGACCATGGTGTAGGCATAAAATGAAATCAGTTTGTGAAAAAAATATATATCTGTGTTATTAGCAAAAGCAGATTTATCCCTTTATATGAGGGCTAAGGACAAATTCTAATGGAAATATTCCTTTTGAAAATGGGGAGTGTGCCAGGGCACAGGGCGTTTGGTGCCTCTGACTTTAAGAGCCATGGCAAGAATGTATGAACTAGTGAGCTCCTGTCCTTGTCCAGGCGAGCAGTGTTTTGTCAACAGTACTTTGCAGTGCAGTATATTGTTATGCCTGCTTTGCCAGCATCATTGCTGACTAGTGGAAAAACAGGCAGTGCCCACGTTTTCCACAGCTCCAGCCATGCAAGCAGGTTAACAGGGTGTGTCAGCAGCTACAGAAGTGCTGTGCTGCAGCATTTGTTGTTTCTCTGTGACTCTGGCAGTTTATGAAACCATTCATGGGCAACCTTCCTGAGTGCTCAGTTTTTGTTGCTGCAGTTGCAGTGTGTCTGTGGAGAAGACAAGGAGTCCCTCAGGTTCAGAGCTGAGTCTGGTCTGCAGCACATAAGAAAGATCTGCTGTGTCTGTGCTTCTGAAAGGCTGAGAGAGAGCAGATGGCTGTCGGATGGTACCAAAATACCTGAGGGGAACCTGCTGTGGAAGTGCCAGCACCAGCTGCAGCCACTACTTTTCCCTGTCAGTGCTGGGATGGTAGTCCATGACAGAATCCCTTACAAGGTCTTTTGTAGCGAGGGATAGCTTTCCTTTGCATAGGACATATGATTGGAGCAGTGTCTGTGTAAGGGCAGCTATGCATAGTTGTAGTTTGATTTATCCAATCAGGTTCTTCTTTATTTCTCTTTCTCTTCTCATATTTCCTGTTTTTTTCTGGTTATTTTGTTTGTCATACCCCCTCATCCAATACTATTTGCAGCAGCAATGGCAATTATGGATAGCTCACTCTTATATACTGTTTGACCATGCTGGGCTGAGAACCTTGGGGTGGGTGTGCAAAGACATACCAAACCTAAGGGTATTAAAGCCTTTATTTAATGTAAAATAAAATGTTATTTTATGTAAAATAAAAGCAGAATGTTACAAAATGTGTGCAGCATGAAGGTGGACCAAACAAGGCAAAAAATGATGGATGAACATCTCTATTTTGGAGTACATCCCAATGAAGAGTTCCTAGGTACCTCTAGTCTAGTTTTTCTCAAAGGTTTCTTCCCCATAGTGTGCTCCTTGGTCAAGGATGCTTCCTTTTCCTTTGTGGAGAAAGGATGGCTCCAAATACACCTGAAGGCTGGGCTGCCATTGAGCAGAATTTTGATTGGCTGGGAAGTTGGACAGAGAGAAACTAGTGAAATTCAACAAGGGCAGGTGTAGGATCCTGCACCTGAGGAGGAATAACCCCAGGACAGGCTGGAGCTGACCTAGTGGAGAGCAGCTCTGCAGAGAACTGGGAGTCTTAGCAGATGGCAAGCTGACCATGAGCCAGCAGTGCCCTTGCAGCCAGGAGGGCAAAAAATACCCTGAGTGCATTGGGATAAGTGTGGCCAGCAGGTCAACTGAGGTGATCCTCTCCCTCTACTGGGCCCTAGTGAGTCCACACCTGGAGTATCGTGTTCAGTTCTGGTCTCCAAAGTTCAGGAAAACAAGGAGCTACTGGAGGCAGTACACTGGAGGTCCACAAACATGGTTACAGGTTTGGAGCATCTCTCAGATGAGGAGAGACTTCAGGAGCTTAGTCTGTTTAGTCTAGAAGGGAGAAGACTGAGAAGGGATCTCATGAACATATATAAATATCCCAAAAGTGGGTGACAAGAGGATGGTGCCAGACTCTTTCTAGTGTGCCCAGTGACAGGACAAGGAGTGATGGCCATAAATTTAAACACCTTGACTTTTTAACACTGGGGATGGTAGAGCACTGGAACAGGCTGCCTAGGGAAGTTGTGGAATCTCCCTTTCTGGAGACACTCACTCACTTGGACTTATTCCTGTGTTTACCTGCTCTAGGTGACTCTGCCTTGGCAGAAGGGCTTGGAATAGATGTTCTCCAGAGGTCTTTTCCAACCCTAACAAGTGTGTGATTCTGTAAAATATAAATGTAGGAAGCGGCATTCTGCAATCCAGGTGGGAATTACATCTGTATTCCTTACTAGGACAGGATCCAGGTCCTGGAGCTTGCAGCAGGTCACACTGCCAGAACTGTGCAGAGCCTGCTTCCTGCATTCTTCCAGGTCAGCTTAGCGTGGATACTGAGGTGTTCTGCCAGCAGCGACACAGCAAAGCTCCTCACTGTCTGATTGTCAGGAGAGACTGCTTTGCCCTCCTGCCAATTCACTCTCACGAGTTTCTCAGTGCACTAAGCTGTTTCCAGGGAATGCTGCTTACAGCAAGTCTGGCTCTGTGCCAGGCTGGGTTCTGGCTTCTTGGCAATGCCAAGATTATAGAATGTAGTACCTATGATTCAGGAGAAGGCCTAAGGGAAAACGGAAGAGCCTGATCAGGAGAGGGCATCCAAGGTGAAAACAGATGCAAAGTTGTTGCTATCATGCTGGCATGGTAGTGTGGAGGAAGGGTTTTAGAAAGGCCTTGGGAATGGGAAACTGAGGAAAAAGATACATTTATGTATGCCCCATTGTTTTAGAAAGGCCTTGGGAATGAGAAACTGAGGGAAAAGATACATTTCTCTATGCTCCATTGTTTCGGGAAAGTTTCACTTCAGATTTCTCTGTAAACCCCCTTCTCCCCACCCCTGAGCAGTTCCCATTGGACCCGGCCCCTGGGGTGGTTCTGATGTGCCTAAGCTGGACAGTATCCCCATTGTTTAGACCTTATCTCTTAATTTTGCTGTATAAAAACTGTATCTGGGCAGTAGCCCAGGGCCTTTGGTCCCTGCAACCGTTCAGGCA